TGGTAATGTTTGCATGTAATACCAACTTAATGCTATGAACACCAAACATGATAATATCCTGCATAAAATTGACAGGATGGCTGCAGCGGGCAAGCCTGGGTCCTCAGAGGTTTGTTCAACTTCCATTTTCTTGGATGTCCATTTCAAATTGGTTGATTTGGTTTCTTGTCTCCAGCCAATTGCTTCCACTCCCCTCGAGGAAACCCAGTTGATTCAAGAGATATCTTATTTGGAAGAGCAATCCAACCAACATGAGATGTCCTTAATGGAGCACATCAAATAATTGAGACATCTGATTCTCAATCCTTCAGGCTCTATGCTACTAACCAAGTGATTATGTGCACAGTGCGTTTCTCTGAGTGTTGGCAAGGTGGTAAAGGTAAGGAGTCTTTCTTTTAATTAAATAATAAGAATGAATTAATCAGCTAAATTTAATTACTGTATAACTCTTCTCAGCCTATTTAAGGGAAGGAAATACAGATTTCATGTTTGAGTCTTCCTCCTGAGACAGTCAGGGAATGTTGTAAGTGAAAACACTCACTGATTTGGAGTCTTAGCAAGCTAGCACAACCAATAAAAAATTTGGCAGTGTCACAGGATAGTTCAGGACTTTTGAAGTCACAATAAGAATAGGACAAAGTAGACAGGGTAAGTGTGGATGATGATTTATAGTCATAATCCAATGAAAAGAACAATTGAGCAGAGCTACTAGTGTTTAAATATCTATGGTTATAAATACTCAAGCTGGGTGGCTATTCTGGTATATGGTTGACTCTGGGGGGGGGCAATCCAAGGAAAAAAGGGTCTTTAAGTATTGTAGAGGGCCTCAAAAGTGCTGCATGTCCACCACAGAGGTAATATCACCATACCTATTTCCCAAGTAGTTACAATTCTGTTATCTTATTCACACCTCCTTTATTTAAAATATAATACATCTTATTAATATAATGATAATTACATTGTTAATTAATAATATTGCTGTATATTAATTAATTTATGATCAATGGAATAACATTGATAATTATTGTTATATATTATTATTATTAACAATAATTATTGTGGCACAGAATATTATTCTAAGGTAACAACTGAGAATAATATCATGCAAATGAATATAAAGTTGATAAAATATGTTTTAGTTTAACATAGATTATTGAAACATAATGTATCAATAACCTAATGTTAATTGGAACAACTGAATTAGAGGTATATAATTAAATGAGGTGTGTTATAATTGTGTACAATATTCAATAATCATTATACCATTAAGTATCAGCTCTGTATTACACATAAAGAATGTGGAACAACTTGACTACAATATTGTAAAATGTCCCTTGACTAACCCTTGAGTAAATTCTCAACTACCAGAAAGTGGTATCCCTCGTGAACTCAATTTAATGGAGGCTGTCGTCTCCATTCAACAGTTCCGTGATCGGTCAAAAAACTCTTCCCACCATGGCAGAACTGTTGCGAAATGGGTAGAGGAACACCTTCTTCCAATAGCTTTTCAAACTATCAAAGAGTAAATTAATGCACATTGACAGATTGTCAGCTCAATAAAGAAATTGGAGGCTCATGAATCTCAAGTTACTTTTCCGGAATCTATAATGAAAATTACCCCAACCTTCCAGATTATGAGCACTGTCACCAATAAAGACAATCCAGAGAATCTCCTCCAAAAGATGAAAATCAACACGGCAACAAAAAATCTCCACCAAACTATTCTTACTGAAGCCATCCAAAGCCAAAAGTCAGAACTCGCTGCTGTGAGCTTGGTACTTACATTGGTGTGGAACTACTCTAAGGGGAGTAGAGCTTGGAGGGGAAATAGACAACTACACTACTAATAATGTAAGC